GGAGAGGTCTCGTCTAATGAAGTCAACGCTCCGTTCTCCCTCGTGCTCTAATCCAGAATCCCGAAACCTTTCAGCTCGAGTTACGTAACCGCTTTCAGTGCCTAGAATATTGCAATGCAGTGGACGATATGAATGACAAGCTCGTGGAAACTGTCCATGCGTTCGGAGCTAAGTTCTGCAAGACTTACCGTAGAAGAACACAAAAACTCTCCGATCACACTCTTAATCTCATGGCTGTTAGACGGGAGATGAGGCTGCAATCGTCAACAGATTTGACAGCATAAAGGCAACTGAACAGACAGATCTCCGAATGCATGCGGCGAGACTTACGCAACTTTAATACTGCTCGTATTCAAGAAGCGATCGAGCGGAACCAGGGCTCCAAAGTCTTTGCCAGAGATCTGTCTGCCAGAAAGAGCCAACTGTCAAAGCTGAAGTCTGAGTGTGCCAGCATCGTTTCCGGGACACCTGAGATTTTGAGTGAGATTGAGAGGTTCTATGGGCAGCTGTACACATCATCGTTGGAGCCACACGCAAGTGTGAGTAACGATTCAAGAGCAAGTCTTATCCGACACTATTCCGATGATATCCCGGACGTCAGTCTGAGCGAGATTAGAATGGCTTTCCACCACTTTAAAAACGGCAAGGCCCCGAGCGAGGATGGAATTACAGCGGAGCTTCTGAAAGCGGGTGGAACACCGGTCCTTCAGAAGCTCTTCTATTCCGTCCTCCATGGTGGCACTACTCCGGAGGCGTGGAGCAGAAGCGCGGTGGTCTTGTTCTTTAAGAAAGGCGACAACGCTCTCTTAAAGAACTATAGACCGATTTCACTTCTGAGCTGCGTCTACGTGCTATTTTCAAGAGTCATGACGAATCGTCTCGCACGCAGACTCGACGACTTTCAGCCTCCCGAAAAAGCCTGTTTCCGAAAAGGCTTCAGTACCATAGACCACATACATACCCTGCGGCAGATTGTACAGAAGACTGAAGAGTACAATCTGCCGCTTTGCCTGGCATATGTGGACTATGAGAAAGCCTTTGATTCCGTCAAAATTGGGGCGGTGCTACAGTCCCTTCAGCGGTGCCAAGTTGACTGTCGGTATATAGAAGTGCTGAAGTGTTTGTACAGAAGGGCTACGATGGCTATCCGAGTACAGAACCAGAATTCGAAACCTATCCAACTGCAGAGAGGTGTAAGACAGGGTGATGTATCAGGGTGGTGTAACAGGGTGTTATATCCCCGAAACTCTTCACCGCTGCTTTCAAGCGACGTTTTCAAGCTACTGGACTGGAAAGGATACGGTATTAACATCAATGGCGAGTACATCACTCACCTTCGATTTGCCGACGATTTAGTCCTTATGGCAGAATCGCTGGAGGACCTTAGCACTATGCTCAAAGATCTCAATGGTGTCTCCCAACGGATAGGTTTTAAGATGAACATGGACAAAACAAAGATCATGTTTAATGTCCATGTCACACCTATGCCGGTAGTTGTTGGGAGCACTATGCTCGAAGTTGTTGACGAGTACGTTTACCTGGGACAAATAGTCCGACTAGGTAAGTCCAACTTCGACCAAGAGGTCAATCGACGGATTCAACTCGGCTGGGCAGCGTTCGGGAAATTACGAAACATCTTCTCGTCAGGTATACCTCAATCTCTGAAAACTAAAGTGTATAACCAGTGCGTGTTGCCAGTGATGACTTACGGATCTGAGACGTGGTCCTTCACTGCTGGCTATATGAGGATGCTCAAAGTCGCTCAGCGAGCTACGGAAAGGGCTATGCTCGGATTTTTTTTGCGTGATAGACTCAGAAATGAGGATATCCACAGTAAAACCAGAGTGACCGACATATCCCAACGGATTGGTGAGCTGAAGTGGCAATGGGCCGGCCATATAGCTCGAAGAACCGATAACCGATGGGGAAGAAAGGTTCTCGAGTGGCAGCCTCGTACCGGTAGGCGTAGTGTAGGGCAACCCCCCACTATATGGAGTGACGACCTGGTAAGATATGCAGGAAGTCGATGGATGCAGGTGGCTCAGGACCGTGCTTTGTGGCATTACTTGGGGGAGGCCTATGTTCAGCAGTGGACTTGTGAAGGGCTGTGATGATGATGATCCGGTAAAAACTTCTTTCGCGTTAACTATTAACAAAGTCCTAAAGCCAAAGCTTCGAATTAGTAGGGATCGACGTACGAAAAGTGTGTTTTACTCATGGCCAATGGTATGTAGGCTTATAGCGGGTCGGGGCTCCTAAAAATCAATTTATTTTGCTGTCACAAAATAACACAACATCAAATATCGTTTACGGGGAAGCTCTGACCCATTAAATTTAATGGCTTATGTTTTGTAGATATTATCTTTATACAAATATTAGAAATAAAAATAAAATAATCAAATACGTTTATTAAAAAAAAAACAAAATAATTAAATAAATAAAAAGGTAAAAAAAATCATTATCTATACTTATTTATATAATATTATAAAGAGGAAAGATGTTTTTGTTAGTTTGTTTGTACCAAATAAGTCCGAAACTACAGGACCGATTTTAATCAATTTTTACTAATAGAAAGCTAAATTATAGGGGAGGGGGAGGGTGATTGGATAAAATTTAAATTTTCTGTATAACGTATATGCCGATAGATAAAGGTACTCCATTAATTTTGCTAATTTTTTAGCTAAAATGATTGAACTAAATGGGCGAGATGTCATAACATGTTGCGCGGCAGAGACGCGTGATATACGCGGGTGAAACCGCGGGGTACAGCTAGTACGTTATATTTTTTGATTATTATGATATTTCTTACATTGGCCTATTTAGTATCTCTACTTATCTTCCTTTTCCAGTTTGTTTTATTGTTATGCTTTCTTTGAGTGTAAACTTGTAATAACTTTAATTTTTTTGTCATTATTACATTAAGTTTTGTTAATTACATAGCTGTTTTCCAATTAAACTAAAACAAAATAAAAATGCCGTGCTAGCTTGACGGCTAATCGCTCGCTGTAAATTTAACAGCACGTGTGCAACCCGGGTTCGATCCCCGCCAATGTTTAAAGTGCTGGTTAATCATGTGCTTGGCGGTGAAGAAAAACAACTGTAACCTGTATCTTTAAAAATTTTAAAATATTTTCGAAGACATGTGAAAACCATTATCACGCATTGGGGCATCGCGGAACACATTTTCTTGCTCTAAAACCCTATAAAAAATGAGAGGAGCCCTATACCCAGTAATGGGACGCATATAGCCTGTAACTTAACGTTACCCTAACCTAACGTTTTAAATAAAAAGAATATTATCATAATTTTGCATGGAATACTTCTTTACAAATAAAACAGGTTTCTGATTCTCGTTACTCACACTAAAAACTCTTTATCCGATCGAGCCGACACATTGATCTGCAGACTTCGCTACTTGCTGCAGTGTAGCTGTATCACATAATGTGAAGAGATTCTCCTCCATTACTTCTGAGTCAGTGGTACTCTTTTATATCCATATGCTGTAATATCATGAAATAGGCTGTAGCATTCCTGAAACATCCAATTCAAAAAACCTGCAATTTCCAACCCTCCTACAAGCACGGCATCTAAGGCAAGCAACGCCCTATTACCCCCTATTCGGAATATGTTTAACAGTGTATTTTCATGGCTGTAATGATGATTATGCACTTCCGGCAAATTTCATAAATGGCGGCAATTTCCATTTCTTTTTATAGGACAGTGTGACAAACGAGCGCACAGTCCACATAATGGTAAGTAGATGCTGTGGCCCATAGATATCTACATCTATCCTCGATTAAGAATCAAAATGCAAATGCGTTGTCACCCGTGTGGATTAAAGATGAAATGCCTCATTTCCAGTAAAAAGGGTCTCCAGTTCTCTACACACTCACCATACGAAACACAGCAGCATTAAGCCACTATTTCACGCTGGTATTCTGTGAGAGCGTGGTACTTCTCCGGTAGAGCCGATCCATTCGTGGTACAACTACACTACTAATATAACTGCAGCTTGGCTCTACCACGTACAGAATTGATGATTTTATCATTGATGACCATTTTCCATTTATACCTAATAAATGGAATCTGCTGGAAATTTTGTGTTGAATACTGGAGTAAAAATATACGTGTAATACTATTTAAAATATAATTAATGACGTGATTTAATACCAATTAAAATAATCGTTTGTAACTAGCGATTTCGTTGAAAAAATTATGTTATGATTTTAACATTAACATTGCTAGAAGAATATAAGAAATATTTATGGAAATATCGTTTTAAATTTGAAGTTATATTGTTAATTTAGACATTATAATACATTGATTGAAATTGATATATTATAATTTTCAAATAAATTTGTGGTACAATACTGGCGCCACCTAATGTAGGTTAATTGTACTATGCCTATAACCTTTGCGCAAGTACAAGTAATAATACTAATTAAAGTTGGTGTGAATTACCTCTCACATATCCGTTCAAAAAAATTATTGAGCGGATCTGTGCGAGGTGATTCTTAACAACTTTAATATAATTAATTTCCGCATAGTAACGCTTGATTCTATTAATTATACTAATGTTAAACACTCGCTGCTGCGGCGCAATAAATGGGAAGACAGGACGCTGCCTATTGCTTTCCAAAAAAAACGTCAATTTTAACTTATATTAAATCAATAACCAGCAATGTCCAAACGCCTAAACCTAATTAATAATTATTAAACTACCCGTACTCATTAATAAAATACTGCGTGCCAGTGCACACTATTCTTCGTCATTCTAGGAATCAATAAGCAGTTATCGATAAGTGACGCACCGCACGCGTCTGCCCCTGCGCACCGATGATTTATGGCACCGCGGGTAGCGAGTGTTCAGTATTAGTATAGTTGACAAAGTTTTAGTTTATGTACGGTATGCCTGCGCATAAAATATGAACAAAAAAATATTAATTTTGCTATACAGAAACAATTCACTCATCAGATAATATATCTCTTTTTAATTACAGAATGGCGGTGCAAAATGCAGTCGTGTTTTTTAACGCCATTGTCGTTTTGCTGTTCGCTTTTAGTCTCGGCAATGTCGAAGATTACAGTCCTAAGCCTGAAATTGGCTATCCAGCTGGGTTAATACCAAACTGTAAGTACTAAGGCTAATTTTAAGGAAGCGCTTTTTTCACATACTATATGGTGATATATGAAAATCAACAGTAACTTTTAAACAAAGATGATTATGCATTTTTATATGCCCGATAAAGATTCTGTATCAATGAATCCGTGCAGTCGAGGTGTAATAATGATGATCTTTCTGATAAAAACTCAAAATATTAAAGGACTGCGGTTGTCAAACCGCCTGCGAAGCCATTTATGGGCGAGGCCTATGCTCAGCGGTGGCCTTTCATATATTGTAATGAATAGAACTACTCACTACTAAATCGGTGTTGATTCAAGAGTATCTTATATATACATACATAGGCATGTAAATCCTTTGTTCCGAGGGTGTCGCAAGAGGTGACTATGCTAAAGTAGAGAATATTTCTATTGCTTCTGATCGATATTATACGATATCTTTACGTAGTATCAAAGGTACTAAAGTGACCGTACAAGAAATTATGCCTTACATAAGAAGACGTCCCTGAGGTTGTTATAAAATTAAAAAAAAATTGTAAAAAGAATATTAGCAATATTATTATCATTACTAATACTCACTGAAACCACGCCTGGTAAGCTTAATTAATCGTTGAAATAATACTAGTTTTTACGGAATTTATCGCGTATATTTAACTTTTTAAATACCCGACGTTTCGAACGCTTTACAGCACTCATGGTCACGGGCGGGACTGAAAAGTTCAACGTCCATATGTCATCTTGAAACACGTTCATATGTCATGTTGAACTTCTCAGTCCTGCCCGTGTACCATGAGTGCTGTAAAGCGTTCGAAACGTCGGGTATTTAAAAAGTTAAATATACGCGATAAATTCCGTAAAAACTAGTATTATTTCAATGTGTAGTGTTCGCGTAAATATAAGAAATCATTAATTAATCGTGTTAGGAGTGGCTGAAGTTTCTGTTTGTTTCTAATAATGGAACTTTGAAATAATACTAGTTTTTACGGAATTTATCGCGTTTATTTTAACTTTTTAAATACCCGACCTTTCGAACGCTTTACAGCACTCATGGTCACGGGCAGGACTGAGATGTTCAACGTCCATATGTCATAGTTAACCGCGGTTACCATAGATTAAAATTTAACTTTTGTTCCGATCTATGCAGTATGAACTTATGGTATCTTGAAGTCTTGCAGTTGTATGCTTGGGTTGGGATTTAATTTTATTTATTATAGGATCCCAAGCAGATGGTAGCACCCAGCCATCTTCTCTATTGAAATTAGGATGTTTTTTGATTTCAATAGCCTCGCGAATCATCCTTGGAAGGAATCGGTGTTCTTTAGCGAGAATCTGCGGTCTATCAAATCTGATGTAGTGACGGGGGCGATCCTGTACGTGTTCACAGACTGCAGACTTCCCTGAGCGTCGATTCTTCACATCAGCTATATGTTCTTTAACGCGGGTTTTTATTGATCTTTTAGTTTGTCCTATGTAGGAGAGACCACATTCACAATCAAGCTTGTACACTCCTGCATCTTGCAGAGGGACATTACACTTGACCGATGGTAAAAACTGATCAATCTTCTTCATCGGGTTCTTCGTCGGGTATTTAAAAAGTTAAAATATACGCGATAAATTCCGTAAAAACTAGTATTATTTCAATGTGTAGTGTTCGAGTAAATATAAGAAATCATAATGGAACTTGCTTATTTAAGGCAATCTCATATCTGTTCTATGGGAACCAATTGCTGGATTCACTTCTTGGTTCGTTTGTGGGTCCGTCCGTCGGTTCGTTTGTAGGTATGTCTATTTGTTCGTTCGTTAGTTTGTCTGATTGACTAACTGAATGTTATCATCTATATTAGTTTCTTTATAGGTCTCCCCAACAGTCAAAAGTAGAAAAAATTATTTATCATAACAGAAGTAATAAATTCACGCGAACGAAGTAGCAAACACGGCTAGCATAAAATAAGTTAATTTAGCCTTCATACGTCTCACTGCTGAGCACAGGCCTCCTCTCATTTCTGAGAGGGTTTAAGGGCAAGGAAGTGACCAACGTGCTGCCCCAATGCGTGTTGGAGAACTTCAGATTACACCGAAAAATTTTTTTCTTATTTCTCAGACATGCAGGTTTCCTCACGATGTTATGCTTCAACGCCGAGCACGTGGTAAATCTGTCGCCATGGTAGCTCAGATGGTTAGCGCTCGCTGTAAATTGTACAGTACGCGAGCGACCCGGGTTCGATCCACGCTGGTACCAATTTTAGGTGCTGAAGTTAATTTATCGCGATAAAATCTGTAAAAACAAGTTTCATTCAACCATGTGTACAAGTTAAAAAGTAACGTATTGTTGTCCGATGCAAGAGGTATGGAGGAATTACGAGATTTAATAAAGCCTGTAGAATACCTAGTAAATCTGCCGCTGTATCCGATACGGACTACTTTCGTTTTAAGCATATTGAGGTCACTATGCTCAAAACGAAATAAATATATACTCAATAAATTTCCAGTTTACATTATATTAGTCTTTAGGAGAGTACATTACGTGGGAAAGCCACGCTGCAGCTGTATTGTGGCTGTAGCACGAATCACGCTCTCACAGAATACCAGCGTAAAATAACAGATTAACGTGGCTGCGTTTCGTATGGTGAGTGTAGAGAGATCGAAGACCTTTTTTTACTGGAAGAAGAAACTTAGTTCTCAAGAATGACAATGCATCTGCATTTGGATTCTTAATCGAGGATAAATGTAGATGTCTATGGACAGCATTTACCATTAGGTGAACTGTGTGCTCGTTTATCACCCTCATTCTATTTAAAAAAAAACATTAGTTGAAGTGTATACAATTCAATACAATACAATGACTTTATTTCAGGCATCAAGGACTTAAAAATTAAGAACATTGGCCCATAGGAATATATAACTTAACCTAAAAATATATATTAAATATAAAAATAACACTATTTAGGGAACTTTTTTTGGCGCGTCCCTGTATCGGCGAAACACTACCCTAGAGGGCCAGAAATCGTGAGCGAGGAATGTCTCTTTGTATTTTACAGGAACCCGGAGTACGTAGGATTTGAAGTTCGTGGACCTCTTAGACTCCAGACGCTGCAAATGTAAAAAGATCAGATCCCCTATGCGGCATCGGCTTCGTTCTTCCACGAAACGCAGGACGTATTCTCCCGATGTACTTTTGTCCACACGGGAGATGTAGAGCTATATGGTGGGCTCCACAATACGCAGAGTTGTTGAAGTGTATAAACTGTGGTTTTTATTGATTAGTACCAGAGTGTACGAGAGAACACGAAAGCTTCAGATAGTGTAACCCGGTTGTTGCATGCTTCTCCATTACTTTAAAGCCGTGCTATGTAGTACCAATTCAACCATTTTATAGCAGAAAAAAATATATATCAAAAACAGTACTTCTTGTTACTAATACTATAATTAATATCATCACCACTTTCAAAGTAAAAAAAAAAACAAAAAAGTAGTTTTAACTATGCTCTAGCGCAATAAAGATGTTTCGTAGAAAAAGTGTGAATTAAAATGTTAAAGATACGAAATTTGAGAGCAAATGTCAAACGCAAAGAATGGTGTCGTGGCTATGGAATTTTTCTTTTTCTTCTTTTCCTAAGCCTAAGACTTTCATACTAACCACGTTTTGTATTAAAATCGAGCCACTGGAATGCAAAATTCACGTCAACGTTTTCCGTCACTTCCACTTCCACTTCCACATCCAGTCGATTCTCCCCGATTTATAGCAACTTACTTGTACAGAAGTAGTTTTTCCAAAATGGATCACAGCCTTGAGACGTGCGTTCATTTCATCTGCCGGGATGCCTGCACTGAACTTTATATAAAGAAGGCTACATACGCGTGCTTTTCTTTTATTAGCATGTTTAGATAGAAACTCATACAGACAGATTAAAAAAATGTTATTCAAGTCTTAATGGTATGAAAATATTTTTTTTAGGATATGGTGACAAACGAGCACACAGTCCACCTGATGGTAAGTGGTTACTGTGGCCCATAGACATCTACATCTATCCTCGATTACAAATCAATATGCAGATGCGTTGTCACACGTGAGGACTAAGATGGAATGCCTCGTTTCCAGTAAACAAGGTCTCCGGGTCTCTGCACTCACCATACGAAACACAGCAGCATTAAGCTACTATTTTACGCTGGTGTTCTGTGAGAGCGTGGGCCTTCCCCGGTCGAGCCGACCCATTCGTGCTACAACTATACTACTAATATAACTGCACCATGGCTCTACCACGTATAAAATAAACCCTTTTATTTATTTATTTATTTATTTAATTCCAACAAGGTTTAATTTTACATGCAAAAAATATTACAAAAAAATCATCCAATTATAACAAACGAATTAATAGGTATCACTTATGAATTAATAATTAAAAATAATAATCATAAATTAAACAATTATGCAATATTAGTGTTTTAAAATCTCTAAGCCTTTATCAGCGCGTGTTGAGAAATTAAAATATGAAAATAAAATGCTATGAAATATTTTGTCATATTAATTTATAATGCAATGTCAATAAAAGCTAATTACAATATATGTCCATAATTAAAATTATATCTTAAATACAAAGTAATAAATAGTACATAGTCAAGCGAATTAAATTGTCGAATTATTAATTGTCTTATTATCGATAATATTATTAAAAAGATTCAGCAGACGTGTCATACTGTCTGCAAATATGTCAATTTCATCGTGTTGAGTGAGTATGTCCCCTATTAGTATCAATGCTCGATTTTTTTGGTGCATAGGCAGCACGTTTGGTACGTGTAACTGGTCTGTCTAGGAGACGCGGCCTACGGCGCGGAGCCACTGTTCCTCCATTATCTCTGTGCAGGTACCTGGACACCAACAAACCAATTCTCTCCACAACCGACTGACAGTCCAAGTTGTGGAGAATTATAAAAAGATAATACCTAATAGTTGACATCACCCTCCTAAACATTAGGGTTTCTAAATTAACCATACCCAAAACCAATAGGGAA